TAATACCATCTTCACGGGGGCAGAAATACTCCATCACCCTGTGTGCCCAAAGTCACTGGGCTTCCTTGAAAAAGACCCCGTTTACTAAAGTGCCTTAGACGCTTCAGGACCACATTCTAACTCTACACAGAACAGAAAAGGGCTGAGCTGAACCGCACATTTACGGACAAAGATCATGAGTTATCGTACTTTACAGTAATTACAATGGTGTTTTTATACATCCCAAGTGTTGACTGGAGAGTAAAGTGTTAACTGTGCTGCTAGAAAACCCCTCCCTGGAAGAGCTTCCTACCTCATGCTCTGAGGAAGGGGAGGCTATCTGGGGTGGCTGGGGGCCCACACACTGAAAGGAACTTTCTCATTCTTCCCATCCACTATCTGACATTCTGGAGTGTAAGGCACTAGAACTGGCTTAGAGAAAAGGGGCTCCCTGCTCCAGTTCTTGGTGTGCAAAGGAAATCCTGATAAAGGTATTTTCAAACTGATGCTAAAAATATCTTTCCCATCTCTTGTAATTTCTGTCCTGGACAGACAGGCAAACAAGAAGGGAGAAGATGTTTACAAAGGATAAAAACAGGTGCACCTAAATATGAGAAAAATGGCCCGTGAGGAAATGTGTAACTCTCTGCAGATGCAGACTCTGCTCAAAGAAGTCAAGAATCACATATAGGGAACGACTGATATTTAATGGACAAAGAGAAGGCAAAGAGATACAAAAATACTCAGTCCTCTTGAAAAATAGTGCATTGGTAGTGACGAAGGGCTGCCAAGGCAAGCCCGAGTCTGACAGTGAAGGAGCCTAACAACTCAGCACCTTGGAGTGGAGGCAGAGTGGTGGTGGGAGGGGGGCGCTGACAGACCCATGGCTCACTCACCACTTCCTGCGTGCACACGGGGCAGGGGTAAAGCCTCAAACATCCTATCCTTCCTTCCACTCAACTGTGCGTCTCCTGAATCCATGCACCTGCAAATGACATGAACATTCTTTACTCTTAAGAAAAATTTCATTATATTATGTTGGTAAAATCTTGCTTATATCAATGTCTGTGAGGGGCATGTGTGTGGCAGAGGGCAGAGAGAAATTAAAATGGTGGAAGATTATTCTTCTGAATTAACCACTGCTGACCAAAACTATGCCTTAGGTATTAAAGAACTCTGTTGACTACACTGGCCAATAAGCAACAGAGACATAAAAACGAACCTTGTAGCTAATCTCCAAAAGCAAGCCAGTGTACAATCTTCTAGAAGATTCCATCTATGTATTTCAAGTTCTCAAAAATGGTGTAGACTCACGCAAATGGCAGCACATGTGTCCAGAAGCCAGAGGATAAACAGAGCCAGAATCAAGGTTGTGGGTCCTCTCTTAGGGAAGCCACTGTCATTCCTGTACAGATACTGCCACCAACATGGCAGGGTAATCTTCTAGGCATTTCAAAGCCATGCAAAGGCGGGATAACATACCATCAAAGCTGAAGGCTGGTTTTCATGTCTTAAGTTACTTTCTTAGAAACAAAGGCCCAGGAAAGCAAGCAAAGCTGTGTGCAGGAGAGACTGCCCAGGGACAGCATACCTCCCAGTGAGAGCCAAACTGAAGTGATTAGACTTTCCTCCTGCAGAAATGGAATCTCTGGGGCTATAGTAAAGTTGTTTAATCACTGGGCTAAAGGGTCTCTTGACTTTGGGGGCACAGGGACCCTGGGAAGAGCACAAGAAATACAGTAGTAATCATCCACGTTTATCTGCTGGAGCTGTCCTGCTCAGGAGGTGCTATGTGACTATAATGCAGGGTCAAAGGACATCAAATAGCCTATCTAAGTGGTTAGTTCTTGTCCCCTTTTGCTCTTAAAACTTTCTCAGAGCTTTTCTGACTTCCACTCTGCTATCACAGAAGAGAAATCCGGATGCAAGCTTAAGTGTAAGTCAAACAACTGTGGCAACCTTACATGTGACCCTGGGCAACAAAGGGGAAGTAATGGAAGATATTTCAAGGCAGGAGAAGGTGCACAGAACACTTCCAAACCCAGCTCTTCATCTGTTCGAGGCCAATACACTTTCTGTTCCTAGGTTCAAAAAGATTCTTTAACTGAACATTCAGACAACAGAAAGCAGTGCCCTCCCCCATGGAGAGCACACAATGTGATGATGGACCATTTCAGAGACAAAAAAGTACCCAATTCCCTGAAGCTAAAAAGTCCAGCTACCCATTCACAGGAGTCTGGAATCCTTCAAATCTCTAGGGACAGAAGACAAACTCATCAGCTCCCAGAGTGAACTGAAACGACACACAGATGGGGTCTTCGATTATCCTTCCTCACTCCTGCTGGGTTTGCAGCTAGGCCTCTAAATCTAGAGCTCTACTGGCACTGCTTGCTTGCTTGAGAGGATACTGTCATTCAGGAGCCCAGCTCTGACATCAGTGGGTCAGGAAGATTATGTGGCTCTCCCCTATTGACAGTATAAAGTACTTGTGACACTGGACAGAGGCAAAACATAAGGTAGAGGCAGGGATGAGACACTCACCAGTAGACCTGCTTGTTTAAAGAGCTCGCATCAGACTGAATAAAGAAAAATGCCAGACTCAAAACTGTTTACATGTGAAGGAACTGGGAGAGACTACAAGGATGAACTGTAAAGTGCTAAAAAATCTGTATGTTTCAGGGCACTCAATAACAAGTGATGCCCCAAAAGATCAATGCCAGGTTAGAGTCTGAGGAGTGTGGCCCTATTACAGACAAGGAGTTTCAAAGTGCAAAGCGGGGAGAATGTGACATGAGCAAACACGAGGCCAGTACTTCCAGCTCCAGTTCAACAGAAAGTCACTGCATGATTTTGGACATAGCATCAGAGTTCCCTCCTACTTCTTAGAAAGGAAAGCTAATTAATAAAACAGTAATTAGCTAGAGATTAACAAACACAGAAAAAACTGGCCCAAATGGTAAAACTATGCGGGACGTATTTCTGATGAAAATTCTATTTGAAAAATACACTGTGATGATAGCATTATCTAAATTTAAACTATAGAGATAGGTTTTGTTTTTCAATTTCTATTTTTTAAGTGGTGACACTTCTATGTTACAGTTAAATAGCAAATTTACTGCCATAGTTAAGGTTGGAAGAATTATATTTTATGCACAACTGATTTTCTTTTGGATTGATTACAAATAAGTTTTCATTTACAAAGATGACTTTGGAGTGGTGCAAATGCTGGGTCTCAAAGGGCAGGGACACCTGTGGCTCTCCATCATGTTTCCATTTTCCCAGCTGGGATGGCAACATTTGGCCAAGGGCTTGGCCCTGCTTTCCCAAGTCCTTCCCAGCTGCTGTTCACTGCTCAGCTCTCCAGTGAGGCAACGACTCTCCTCTTCACCTAGAAGCAGCACCTCTAGGCTAGTTAAATATACATTTGCTCCAAAATAGCCAGGCTCCCAAGAGAATTCTAATCATATGCTCCCTTAATAAACCAAATAAGACAGCCCAGAAAGGTGGACACTGAAGTCAGTAATCAAGTAGGAGGATCTAGCTGGAGAAATGGCAAGAAATGTCTAGAAGGAGCCAGTGTGACTAAGGGGAATAAGAGAGCCCAGAGAACCAGCAGAGGGGAAGACATCTGAGAAATGCTCCCATTACGTGAGTGATCACTTTGAATCTACTTACAGACATACCAGAGCTAATGCTTCCAAGACTCCGAGACACCAAAGGCTACAAATGAATTAAAATCTCTAGTAACAGTTTGTTTGCACTTTAAAAATTCAGATTAGGGCAGTTATATGCAGAGGGAAAAATTAAATGTTGAAACTGGATAATATCATCTGAGACATCCATGTTTCAACTTCAGAAAGCAGAGATACTGCTTAAAAGTGTGCAGAGCACCCTTGGGGGTACCCCGAGTCATTTTCTATTCCAGAGGATATGGAGGGATGACTGGATGGGAAAAAACAGTCTGGAAGAGGAGGAGAAAAGCTATCTTCTAGTCTTATGCAACTTTACCCTTACACTCAGAAAGCTCAGTGGACGGACATGGGTCACCTACATGCGGCTTTTGTTTTTTCTGTGCCAGAGGAAGTAAAACCTGGCGTTGCAGTAGCCCTGTGGACTCAGCACAGCCAGCAGGGCTGAGTTACTTGGGATGACATACCTGCTACCTCCCGTTTGTGATCTACAGGGAGAGAAATGCATGCTGAGCTCATGGGCTAACTGCGAAGGGGACAGGTGAAGCTGACTTAAGGAGAAAACATTGGAGAAGAGGAAAATCTAGATGGGATGGCTGAACTTGGAGCTGGAAGGAAAGCAGCATCATTTTAACAGCAGAAAACTCAGGATCGTCAATGGGGTACTTGCTGGGGTCAGACCCCTTCAGGTAGGAAAAGCAACACAAAAGGCAACATGGTTTTTCCCTTTCAAACACCGTGACTTAGTAGTTTACTCAGTTAAGAAAGAACAACCACCTTACTATAGAGAGTAGCAAGAGATGAAGAAAATTATAGGCAGGCTGCCCTAACTCAAAGTCTGCTAACTGGTTCCATATGGAGGATGAGGATGGTGCCAGGATAACTGTTTATCTCCGCTACAGACCAGACAAGGTCCACATGCTGCCTCTCATCAGTGAGGTAGATGATCATCCTCTTGCTAGAGGTATCAGGTGCCAACCCACAGTGCAATGGGACAGGAGAATGAGCCGCTTGGCTGAAAGGCACAAGCTACTCCACAGAGCTGTGTCAGACACAGAGCAACCCCACCAAAATTAACAGATTACTCCAAAAAGCTTAGCCTGAGGGGCCTGCACAACACCTGCTTGCCTTGCTTTGAGATGCACATTTGAAATCACGGTAACCCACTTCTGCAAGGGAGCCTGCTTCTGTCCTGCCTGTCAGACATACTTCCTGCCACCACAGGAGTCTGAGTGGAGGGGAGGGAAGAAGAGCCCAGAGTGAGTATTAGGAAGGGGACAGCAAAAGGAGGAGAAGATGGAAGGATAAGAGAGGATGCAAAGCAAAAGTTTAAAAGGATGTCAAATTCAAAATTATATCAAGGAGATGAAAGAGAAGGAAGGCAAAGGTTTGCTAAAGAGGGATAAAGTCAAACAGAAGAGAAGCTCTGAGCTGGTGCTTCTGTGGGATGAAACAATGGGAGGAGAAAGGGCGATGGCATTATTTCCCATGCAAGTCACTCATTTCCATGTCATCCTTTCGGCGTTTGTGGGTGAAGAGAGAGGCAATTGGGTACAGCTTGGCCTTGGCCTGGAACCGGTGTCCTGCAATGTCAATTTCATACTCTCCCCGGTTGATGAAATCTGCTGTCACCACCTGCTCTTCCCCAGTGTCCTCGGAAAAATTGTGCACAAAACCCAGGCAGACGTGGCGCTCCAGGGAGTAGCTATAGGCACTGCTGGTGGTCTTGCCAACATATTGTCCATTCCGGTAGATGGGCTCACCCCACCATGGCCAAAGGTCTAGGTCTGTGTCGTGGTCATCCAGGATGAACATAGTGAAGCGTTTATATACCCCATTCTGCCTCTGTTGCAGCAGGGCATCCCGACCAATGAAATCCATGCCCTGAGAAAGAGAAGAACTGCTGAGTTGTCTATCAGCACTCTGACTCTTGGCATAAGCAGCATAACCACGGTCCCCTGGTGTCACTGGGGTGCAGCAGGCTCCTCCATTATATAACCCCCAGCAACTTTTGGGAAATGGTGTACTTTTCACCATGTAGAAACTACATTCACAATATAAAAGGGACTTTCAAGAATTTTTATAACAGAGGTACATATTTTTCTTTTTTCTGTTTTATAAACAGATTTCAATCACAAGAACACACAGAATGAAAGCATTAAGGAAGAAAATTCAAGACTAGGGTGGTGCCTGTGGGTCAAAGGAGTAGGGCACCAGCCCCATATGCTAGAGGTGGTGGGTTCAAACCCAGACCTAGCCAGAAACTGCAAAAAAAAGAAAAGAAAATCCAAAACTAAAAAAATAATTGCTGGACTTGTTTTAGAAAAATGTTTTGGCGGCTCGGCGCCTATAGCTCAACCGGC